TTAAATATGGGCATGCCCATATGTAACTGCCCACATATTTGGCACATGGGCTCCATTTGGATTAAATATGGGCTTCCCATATTTACTTGCCAATGTATTTAGAATATGGGTCCCATGTATATTATATGCGGGCATACCCATAAGTATTTTCCCAGATATTTGGCACATGGGCCCAATACGAAATTAATATGGGCATACCCATATTCAACTACCCAGGTCTTCGGCATGTGGGCCCCATGTAGATAAATATGGGCATAGCATGTCCATATTTATTTTCCCAGATATTTGGCACATGGGCCCCATGCGGATTAAATGTGGGCATTTCCATATTTATCTGCCCAGGTATTTACCATATGGGGCCCATGTACTTTAAATATGGGCATTCCCATATATATTTGCCTATATATTTGGCATTTGGGCTCCATATGGGTAAACCATGGGCAAGGCCCATATGTGATTGCCCAGACGGATCCCATAAAGGAAAAATATGGGGTAGCCCATAAGACTTTTCCCAGATATTTTGCATATGGGCCCCATGTGGGATTGTTACCTGGGCATATGCTAACCAAGCAGCCAGACAAACACGATGAGATAAATAAAGCTATTGAAAAGGCAAAGGCCAAGTTTGAGTCTTTTGAAGCATCCCATGATGAGTTAATTGAGCTTTTGGTTGATAAAGCGGAATATGTTAAAGAAGAAGAATGGTCCAATGTCAGGAAGAGTTCCTTTCCGAGATGAGGGTAATTGAGTTACAGCTAGCCGAAGTGTGGAAAGACAAGTCTGAACAGAAATCAGAGATCGTTGAAGATGCTGAAACAGTTGAAATCCACCAGGTGGCGATTCCGGAACGAGATCAACACGTCCATAGATATCTATGGAGAAATCTTGAAATTAACCGAGCTGCTGATGTGTATATAAAGCTAAGACTAACCTTTGGAGACAAGCCAGCCCCTACCATAGCACAGACCGCTTTAAGATTGACAGCAAGGGAAAATGAAATAGAGTATCCAGAAGCAGCAACGATCCTTAAAAGAGACACTTACATGGACGATATTTGCCCATCTGTCAGAACTAAGGAGGAGGCAAGCAAGATAATCCATGACGTAGAAAAGGTACTTGGTAGTGGCGGTTTCTCTGTCAAAGGTTGGACCTCGAACAAGCAAGTACATGGCATAGATATCAAGCAAGACAAAGTGGTTATGATTGACTCCGAGCAAAGGGTATTAGGTATGCAATGGAGACCTCAGGAGGATATATTCAGCTTTGATGTCAACATCAACATAGAAACACTCACTAAAAGAAAGATATTGGGATTAATAGCAAGAGTATTTGACCCCATTGGGTTCATCACACCGGTAACCATAAGTGCAAAGATCAAGATGCAAGAACTATGGGAAAGTGGAATTGATTGGGATGACCCATTACCAAAGAAGGTAGAGCAGGAGTGGAAAGATCTATTCAAGGAGTTTAAAGGGATCGATCAAGTAGCATTTCTCAGATGTCTTACTCCATCTAAGGCATCCAATGAAGTTGTATTAGTAATATTTAGTGATGCAAGTGAGAAAGCGTTGGAGCCTGTGCATATGCTAGGTGGAGATTAGAAAGCGGATCATTTGAATCAAGACTGATAACAGCCAAATCACGTGTAGCCCCAGTGAAAAAATTAACTGTCCCGCGATTAGAGCTACAGGCGGCAGTTTTGGGAGCGAGACTAGCAGATGCAGTAGCTGAAGAGTCTACTTTCGAATTCAGTAAGCAGATTTTAATGACAGACAGCATGATCGTGCTGGGGTGGATAAGACGACCAGCTCAATGCTTTAAACAATTTGTTGCAGCTCGAGTTTCTGAGATTCAACGCAAGACGAAGATAGCAAATTGGAGACATGTTCCAGGAATATTAAATCCTTCCGACGACTTGTCCAGGGGAATGAGAGCGGACAAATTAACTGATAGGTGGATAAATGGACCTGAATTTATAAGTAAGCCGATAAGTGAGTGGCCTCAAGAGAAGTCAGATAATGACACCGGGGATACAGAAGAAAGTAGGATGGCATTTAACGGGAATGTTGTTGTGAACCCAGGAGAAGTTGATATTGTGGAATGCAAGACTTGGGAAGAAATGTTAGAACTCTATCGACAAAGAATATACGGCAAACAGTCAGAAGCTTTGAATGCCGAGAAGGTAAGAGAAATTGAACTTTTACTGTTAAAGAGAGTGCAGAAAGACTGTTTTGCAGAAGAGTATGAGGTACTAAATAATGGGGGTAAAAGTGTAGCAAAGAGCAGCAAACTGGTAAATCTCGACCCACAATTCGATATGGAATCAGCTCATCCAAGTAGGAGGTCGATTAAAGAGAAATGATCAACTGGAGATGGAGGTGCACCCAGTTGTACTGGACCCGAGTCATCAGATTACACAGTTGCTCATAAAGAGAATAGACAGTAATGTTTTTAACCATGGTGCAGGAGTGGAGCAAGTATTCAGTTATATAATGTTTCCGGTTAATGAGTGTCGAACTGCAATCCAAATTGGCCAATCAGAGAGTAAAGTTTAATTTCAATCCACCCGAAGCACCACATTTTGGAGGAATATGGGAGAGGGAAATCAAGTCAGTGAAAAACGCAATAAAATGCTGTTTGAAGGATAGAATAGTAACCGAAGTAGTACTTCAAACTGTAGTAACGGAGATTGAAGGGCTATTAAACTCAAAGCCATTAGGATATGTCTCATCAGATGTTTCGGATAGCAACCCTGTAACACCCAACCTTCTTCTCATGGGGAGAAGAGATCCCGCATTGCCGTCAGTGGCATTCAGCCCAAGAGAGAAAGTAAGAAGCAGAAGGCAATGGAAGCATAGCCAGGTCATAGCGGACTTGTTCTGGAAGAAGTTCACCTCAGAGTATCTGCTTAGTTTGAAAATTAGGAGTAAATGGCAAAGGGAGTGTGAAAATCTAAAAGGGGTGATACAGTTTTAGTGATTAACAACCGGTTGCCAAGAGGTGACTGGCAAGTTGGGAAAATAGTGAAAGAGTACCCAAGTGTTGATAACAGGGTAAGAGTGGTAGATGTGTGCGTAAATGACAAAATATACAAACGTCCTGTGGTAAAGCTCATAAAGTTAGAAAAGTGGGAGTAAATTGAGGGTTATATTCTTGTCAAGGTTACTGCTCCTGTATAATAAAGAAGTAGTTCATTGCATAGGTTACATTGTTCTAAAGTTGTTAAAGTTGTTAAAAAATAAAATAAAATAAAAATAATAAAAATAAAAATAAAAAGAGTTTAACTGGAGAAATGAGATATACTCATTTGTGGGGGAGTGTAGAAACGGTTGCGTTTCTGTAGAGTTTTGTAAGTGAAAATAGGTGGCGCACAGCGAAATGCCAAGTTGTCAGAACCACGCTAATGATCGTGTTGCTATGAGGATTGTGTATGTGTAATGACAGGAGCAAACGGTACATTATTCGACCGTTTCTAAAGTTATTGGTTAGAATCCTAACCAACGGATTAAATGCTAGCCAGTTCAGGAGGTGATCGGATGTTGACTGGTAATTGACTGATCACACAGTATGCTAACCTGTTTGTAGGAAACACGGCAAAGTAGTAAGTCTTCATTTATTGCAGGCAAACCGTATTATGTAAGGCTTATTGTATTGAATGGTTCATAATAATGTTTTCAAGAAGTTTCGAATGTGTTTAATGGTTATTTGATTACAGAATTGCATATGAGATGTTACGATAAATGATAAAGGTTACCATCGGATACTTTATCGTAATAAACGTCGTAGAACTTTAACGGAGTTTCCTGCATCATTTGTTCAGTGTTTTGCGCCAATTCTTTACACGTACCAACGTCCGCATGTCGCGGCGCTCGTGTATTACTATTCAAAGTTTTTACTATATTTCCAAGTTTCCTATTTTTCAGCCACAATATTTTGAGGCCAATATTATTTACGAACCCAGTCAAACTTATTTACTAGCCTATTTCAGCGTGCTAATATTACTTTTAGGCGACGCTTGTTGCAGACTGGCATACATGGTACCAACGCTCGTTTTTACTATGTTTCTACGTCAGCTCGAGACGCTCGAGTATTACCATTCAGCGTTTTTACTATTTATAACCATGGGCGGTATAAATGTCAACTCGGCCCAAGTTTCGGCACAGTATTTTGAGGCCTATAATATTGACGAACCCAGTTAAACTTACGTCAACGTGCTAATTATTATATTTTAAAACAATAATTAAAAATGTCTACTATGGGGCCGCGAAACTGTGGCCAAGTTGACTTGGTGCCGAGTTGACTCGAATTCGATCATGCTTACGTTGTGTGGTGCGTTGGCAGTCAACTCGCCTCTACCCCTAGAAAATTTGCCACCTCAATGTATACGGTAGTTTGATTAGTACAGTACTCCATTTTCGAAAATGTATCACAAATTGTTGACCCATCTCAATAGACTTTTATGTATTTTGAATATGTTACGCTTCTATGTTTTATAAATAGTTTTGCTAATTTGATTTCTGGACCACAACATTGCATGTGGAAGAGGTAAGGTGTAAACTCGGACTCGTCTCGACAGCGCTAGGAGTAGTCTAGGCTAGCCTTATCCTACTCTAGGCCTAGACTAGCTAGGATGATAGGCCTAGCCTTGAAGGGACGAAGGTCCCAATGAAAAACGACGTCGCTCCTTGATAGCTAACATTGTCTATTTAACATCACAATAATTCATTATTAGACCTATAGTTGTTTTTTGAATTGTATACTACAAATCTCAGACGATACCTCGCACAACTCGAGTAACGTCACTTATCTATTGTCATGACGTCATGGCTCGCTGGCTCACACTTGCGATGTCTCGCACTTGTGATCAAATAACACGCTGGCTCGCACTTTGGCAACACTCTTTAGCAGTCAACTCACTCCCTAGAAAACCCGCCCTTGGAAACTTTCCCCATAAAAAAAAATGTACACTTCCTAGACCATGCAGTCTTCAAAATAAAAATTGTAACCTTTGGTAATTAACTACATTTTCCACATGCATAGACATTTTTGAAACTTATTAAAAAAACCTAAACCATAATTCACCACTATAGACATTTTTTGAAAAAATGAAAAATTACGACTTTGTTACCCAATGAGAAGTGTTCTAATATAGACAATGGGTCGTGTCTCTTATTATTTGTTATATTTTTATTATTCATTATTTTCACTTGACTCGCATAAATAATTTTGTTCAAAGAACATTTATATGCAGTTGTACTTCGCAGCACTTCACTTGCAATTTGGAATTTCTAGTTATTATTATTGTTGTTGTTGTTAGGCCTATTATTATTATTATTATTATTATTATTATTATTATTATTATTATTATTATTATTATTATTATTATTATTATTATTATTATTACATGAGTAGTAGTATTATTAAACAAAACTTTAAAGAAACTTGCAAAAGTATAAAAGCGAAACTGAACCATACAGTACTGCATTTCTATATCTTAAAAGACCTGGCCTGAGATTTTAAGATTTTTTTAATCACGCTTAGGCCTATGTGTGTTCTATTATTACTACTGATGCATATTTACATGTTTTAGAAGTATTCATGTAGAGTCATCCCAGGAAAGAATTTGTATTGGCTCAAGAACAAGAATTTTAACACTGTAC